CAATCGAAGATGCTGGATTTTCCCCCAATCAGAAGCTTTGGGGGCAGGGCCCTTTGCAATCTAGCACTTCACTGGTTCCCTTCTGCAGTGGGTCAGGTGAGCTGCTGAGTGGCAGTTGTGGCCTGATCACAACCTAGTGCCCCAAGAGCCAGGGTTCAAGGCCTGTAATCCGTTGCCTCTCCCCTAGGGAGCCTGCCGGCTGGCCGTGGACTGGGGTTTCGGGGAAGGTGTTTACCAAGTCAGGAGGGCGGATGTGTCGCTAGCTCCCAAGAGCGCTCTTCAGGACTGTAGCCTTCCCAATCCCCAAAATACCAGAGTTTATCCAGGTGCACTTTTAGGTCATCTTGGGTTTGGCGTATCTTTTGTCCCCAGTCCAGGGCTGCTGGGTTGTGGGAAGCTGCGGGCAGCTTTGGGCAGAACTAGGGATGGAATCCTGTAATGGCGTGAGCACCCGCCTCTCATGAGTGCCCCCTTTGTGGTCAGCTGGTTCTTTCAGCCCTCTGGCCGAGTCACACACACTGTCCCCCCTTCCGGGGTATACCAGTCTCTAGCTCTCACTCACGGCCCTGGTATGGGACTGTAGCACCAAGGCTTCTGCCCTGAGGCCCTGTCTTCTTTAACAGCCCAACCAGGGCCCATCTCTGTACCCTCGGATGGTGTCCTTTTGGCAGCGCTCCCTGAGCTCAGTCTTCAACCAGACCAGCAGGGCCCATCACGGTACCCTCGCCCAGCCTGGCTAGGTTATGGTCAGTCCCCTGGGTGCAGCCTGTCCGCACTGACCTGTCCATGGTCCTTCTGTTCTTCCTGACAGCCAGCAGGCACCCGGTCTTTGGCAGCCTTCCCTGGGCTCAGTCCCGCCTGCAGTGAGCTGTCTGTAGTCCTGCTGCTCTTCCAGCCAGTCAGGCACCCAGTATTCCCTCTTCGAGCACCAGGTAGCAACTGACTGCTCTGCCTCTGCTGCTTCCTTTTACAGGGCCCTTCTGGCCTCTGACTGGCCGCTCCAGCAGCCTCTCTGATTGGTTGTTTCTCTGCAGCCACTCTAGGCTGGACTGGAGGACTTCTCCTCTGGAGAACATCTGGAGGACTTCTCCTCTGCTCTTTTCTAGGGTGGGGTGAGGCAGGGCCACGAGGCCTCCAGCATGTGGGGGGGGGGGAGTCTCCAGACCTAGTCCACCCTGTCACAAATCCATAACTCGAAACAAAGGGGCTTTGCCCCACAGTCACATGTTCTGCATTACTTTACACAAACTCTGCCGGCGGCAGCAGCAAGGCCCAGTCGTTCCGGTGGAAGTTGATGTAACATCGAAGATACTGCTCCAGGATCTGGTTGTCTCTCTCCACTTGATCATTAGTCTGAGGGTGATAGGCGGAGGAGA